TTAATCTTCTCACAGTCAAGAGACTTGTGTTTCAGGGGTTTAATTCGATAAACAGTCGATTGTGATAAAGAGTTACGTCTCCCAAGTCCAACATGTCATCTAACGAAGAGTGTAAAGAGTGGTTAAACAGAAAAATTCGAGAGAAATCAATTCCTTGTTACTCGGAAAGCGAACTCAAATTAGACCCTACACATATCGGTCATGGTGGGTTTGGCGTAGTACATAAGGCAACCATAAAAAAGGACGGGACTATTGTTGCAAGGAAAACCTCGTCACCAGGCCAATATGGCGACGACGGAGAATATTTCAAACATTTTGTCAAAGAGGTTCGCTACTTGCTCTTGCCGCGGTATACTGTTGTTGTTGTTTTTGTTCTTATTAAGAAGTAGTATTTTAGATTCAAATCTGTTGTTCCGATCGGGTATTCTCATAATTAGTTGCGAATGCACCTGGAAGTGGGTAATCACGTAAACATTATTCGTTTATTAGGTCTATGCAAAGGTACGTTCTTGATTACGTTGACGAAATCCTATTATTAAAGAGTTGTAAGGCTTATACTCGCTTTATTAACACAGATTCGCGCAAGAATTATCATATTATCTTTGAATATGCCGATGGCGGAAATTTACGTGAATACTTGAAGGAACACTTTAATCACTTAAGTTGGAGAGATAAACGCAAGTTGGGCTTGGATATCAGTTGTGGGTTAAACCACTTGCACGACAATAAGATAATACACAAAGACTTGGTAACGTATCTATCAAACTGTATCGATCATTTCTATCGTTAACGCGACTATCATATTGACTCTTTATTTGTTACATGTAGTCTTCCTCGAACGTCCTTGTACGAGAAAACGTTGCAAAAATATCCGATTTTGATCTGTCTAGTATCCAGAAACAAATAATGTCAGCATCACACGGTAAAGGGCATACCGCGTACATAGACCCATTATCCTTTAACGGAACGCTAGATAGGCGTGGAACAGAATCGGATATATTCAGCCTTGGAGTCTTACTCTGGGAAGTCTCGAGTGGAAGAATTCCGTGCGAAGGGCGGACTCTGATTCACGAGGTTATTTTATATAGATTGCAAGGTTCTCGTGATCCCCCGTTTCCAGGAACGCCCAAAGAGTATGTCAAGTTATATTCGGAATGTTGGAGTGAAGATCCCAAGTTGCGCCCATCATCTGGAGACGTTTACAGAAGGCTACAGTTAATGTCTGAACAACAAACCAATACAGGTAAAGAATCGATGAGATCGATTATCTAACAACATTCTTTAGCTGTCCCGATTAACATCACCCTTTGTTTCGTATCAGTCAACCTTATTTAGATATAATTCAAGCAGCCTCTTAAACGTTATAACACAATAAATATCACCTGATTGTCACTGTTCGAACCAGATTTTAGCAACAATATTTAGCGAATGACATATGTATTGAGAACATTGTTCATTGTGCATTGGGGGACGATGAGACATACGATTTTTCATTTAAAGATGCAGACTTTGACTTATTTGACAAGTGGCTGTAAGCGTTTAACCAAAAGACCAAAAAGCTTCGATCATCTGTCTGAATCTTATTGGCCAACGACAAGAATGTGCTAGTGTTATTTACTCACCCTTGCATTCTGTCCCACCGGGTCGACGTTTAAGCGAGGCCGCGTCTTAGGAAAAGTTTAGCATTCTTCCAATTGAGCTTTCAATTCCTACCCTTTTGATTGTAAATATTGTAAATAGCAAAACAAAGAGCCATTGTGCGACAGTCGTGCGAACTTGCTGGAATCGATCCATAAAGTAGTACATACAAGGTTTACGTATCGGTGAAATACTTTGCCCCCACCCTGCAATAAACTTCAAAATCATTCGCTCGAACAATGTCTCTGCCAAAGACTTCGCAAAAAGTTTGGCTTGACACGAGCATTCGAGAAGAATTAATAAGATGCTACTCGGAAAGCGACATACTGGAACGCAAAATTATTGGTCACGGCGGATCTGGAGTCGTCTACAAAACAAGACTCAAGCATCCTCAAATACAAGTTGCCATGAAAACTCTGTTCTTGAATCAATATGGCTGCGAAGAGGAACACTATAAGCAATTAGTCAAAGAGGTTGGCTGACTATCTTCTTTTATCCGTTGTTTGTATGAAGATTGTGTTGCTATGTTTTCGGCTCAGGCTGTACAAGTTAATGGTTGTAACTGTATCTATCTGTATCTATTTGTTTTCAAACCTCTCCGCCCACCCCCATACGGTTAGTTGAAAACCCACAGGAAGGTAGATGATCACCCGAACGTTATCCGATTCTTGGGTTTATGCAAAGGTATGTCTGTGTTCAGCAGCTATTATTAATTTTAAAAGAACATTATCTAAACGACTTACTAGTATTTTTTTGCATACAGATAGTCATGACAATTATCACATGATTTTTGAATATGCGACCGACGGAAGTTTGCGCGAGTACTTGGAGAAGAATTTTGTCAATTTACAATGGAGAGACAAACTTAAATTAGGCTTGGAGATTGCCAGTGGATTACGATACCTACACGACCTTGACATCATACATAAGGACCTGGTATGCGCAATATCTAAAGACTGTTTTTCAATTCGTGTGCTTGAATGATTATTGTCAAGTCTAACGTGTTCGGCATCATACTTTACATCGCCTTTATGCACGCTTCAGTCTTCCAGTAATGTTCTCATCCAAGGAGGCACTGCAAAGCTCACCGATTTCGGTTTATCGAGCATGCTGAAACAAATAATGTCCACCTCTCATGGTAACGGTCATACAGCATACATAGATCCATCGTCGTTCAAGTTCGATTCCTACAGAAGGGGGAAAAAATCCGACATTTTCAGCCTTGGCGTGCTGTTATGGGAAGTCTCCAGTGGGAAGAAACCGTGTAATGAGTGTACGAAAAGCCACGAGATTGTTATATACAGGATGAAGGGCTTTCGTGACAATCCCGTTCCGGGTGTTCCGGAAGAGTATGTCAAGTTATACGAACAATGCTGGGACGAGGATCCAGAAAAGAGACCAACTAGTGAACAAGTTCACAATACTCTCATTGAACAGTATGGACCAGAATCAAATGATGACGATAATGCAGTCACGAGTAGAGAAGTTCGGCCTCGGCGTAATGGTAGACTCAAGAGATTAGTCAATTTTATAATTAGATTAAAGCGTTAATATTATAGATTGGTGTAATTGTGGACATTTAATTTATTTTTATCTTGAACATTTTTAATAAACGTATATAAAAACATTCGACTCGCCTACGATTGATTCGTTACTCGCGGCAACTACGCACTGTGTATAATAATTAGAGAGTGTGCAAATTGTAGTATGCAAAGAGTGGTGCTTATACTGTTTGATATTGGCTTGCGGGCGTGAGATTTTTAAAATGATGCACATGTGGAAGGCTTCAATTCAGTCCAAATGCCTATTAATTTGCAATCTCATACATTGAATTGATGAATACTATGCACCATGGAAATACTAGAAATCGTACAACATCTTACCCCTCCCTCCTCTTATTACCAACCCGTTGACACCTCCATGAATGGGCAATTGAACATGCCTCACGAAAACGGCTCTTGTCCAACAGTCCAATATGACCACGCAAGCATCGCAACTCTAAACACACAAGCCTCCGATATCTTTGTCAGTGATATTGACAAAAATGTTAGCTGAAAGTCGGATGTGAGAAAGAAAAGGTAATACCGCTGTAATTAGTCGATCAATAACTGACAAATTTAAATAAGCCGGCGGTTTCTAAATATTAAAGAATCTTTGATTGTAGATTTAGCCTTTTTTATTAGTTGGCTTTATCACTTATCACGCACGCAAAAGCACTGCTTGCCATTAAACACTATCTGCCGATCTCACTTTAAGTTTCGCGTTAGATTCGGATAAGGACATAAATTCCCTCAAACGCTCTTTTTGACTCCTGCAGCATTTCAAGACACCAATTACTTTCTTTGGGTCACTAACGCTGGCTGTTCTCTACATTCAGCAAGCCTACGTCACATAAACACCAAGTTATTAAACTGTAAGCAAAAGAGCACGGGGATCATCTTATTACGTTCCATGTGAGATCGGCAACAGCTGAGAATGTGGGGGTGGGGTGAGGGGAGGGGTTCGTGCGGTAGATGAAAGACCGAATACATGCAAAATTTCTGCTTTTAACTCTTTTTAGTGAGCATATTCGGCCACTTATTGCCGAAACAGAATATATGCACCATTGTAGTAGCTAATCATTTGATACAGACAGATTTCACAGTTGAAGCGAATATGTGTTTTATATATTACATCGAATACCTACATTTACAATAGCTGAGGGGAGAAATAAAAAAGAAAACAATAATGGGTAAACAAACAGATACAGACCACAGAGAAAATAAAATAAAATAAATATTTACGAATAATAGAAACCAAAAAACTAAATCTTATCTGCCATCTTTCGAACATATTCATTTCCCCATTTTCCCCCATCTTCTCTCCCTTTCTCTTTTTACGATAAACGACACACAAAATTTTCAATAAACAAGAAACACGAATTTCTTCCAAGCGTTTTGGAATTTCACGATAATAAATCGAATATAAATCAAAAAATCAAAAGAATTTAATCCATTGTCGTTTTCTTTTTTAAAAGTGGGAGAAGGGGGGGAGGGGAGGGGAACTTTGTAATAGTCTGAGCGGACATAATAACCATTGGTTTGTTTTAAAATGCACAAGTTTTGGGACCAAAGAGAGCACACAACGTGTGTGTATGAAAACGTGCAAAAACCGAAATTATTAATTATGAAAAGAAAAAAATGTTTTTGTTTTGCAAAAATACAAAGTTATAAAATTACAATAAAAATATAAATAATAATAATGTAATGCACGCCTAATATAGAAAAAAAATAAATAAATAAAAAAAGAGCCCTCTATTGATCTCTAAGACATTTTTTTTTTAGTGAAAATCCACCCAATCTATCTTTATATGTTTGTAAGTTTTAATCTTCCCAAAGCGCAGATAACATCGATGCACGTAGAATCCTTGGTACTGTATATAACTGTTTGTTTACCCACAAAAACGGCTGCTTGTTGTGAAAAAACCCTTTGTCATTCATAGCCTCGTCAAAATGCCGTAATAAATACTCTTGTCCTCCTACTAATGCTTTTTTGAGTTTTTCATCTTCTGACCATACTCGGAGTCCTTCCTTTAACATTCTTACTACGTAGCTTGTTTCTTCTACGTTCCCTTGTGCGTCTGACGACGCTTCTCCCCACGTACCATCCTCGTGCTGAACGCTTAGTGCACAGTCGATAGACTTGCGACAGTATGCGTGGAGAGTTTCCAGATTCTTAAAGGATGTTGCAGCGAGCATTTCCGGATACTTGTGTAGCGAGAGCAGGACCTGAATCGATTTCATTGTGGTATACCATGGAGATCGGTTCCATTTGTCTTTCCAAAAGTGATTCTGATTACGCTGCGCGGCTATCCAATTAATGTCTGTGATGATTATATTATCCAAATTGGCTTGCCTTGTAACGCCCGTCTTTGTGATAGTAGGCACCATGAGCGGTAGCGTCCCCTTGACTCTGGCTCTTTCTCTTTCAGACAAGAGAAAGTTGAGAATATGCACGTTAACACTGACCGAAAACGTACGCTCTAACGGATACGTTATAAAGTATCGTCCGTTCCAGAATGTCCTTGTTATAGGGCTTAGATCGAACGTGGCATCGGCATCAAAGTGTCTTATGAGATAATTAGCCACACCGGTATCATCTACGTCTCCTGGGATACGGTTATCCCAGCTTACCCATCGAAGAACGCCCTTTTGTTCCTTTAAAAGTGCCTTCATGTATGTGATGAATGCCGCATTTCGACTGGTTAGTTCTTGCATATCGGGGGTGCTGAAATCCGTGTTTGGATTATCTTCCATTGACATGATCATTTCTCCGACGCAATGCGATATCCAGCATGTTTCAAAGATTCCGACATCACACAGCGTAGGCACGAATCCAAATTTGCTTGCGTGCGATGGACGATTATCGATAATCTTTTTCAGAAACGCGTATGCTTTCTCGTCCCATTCCTGTGCAGCTATTAATACGGCAGCAGTCGCAGCGGGTGATGAACCGTAACTGCCATTGATGGCTTGGAATCCCTCGTTCTGACATCTGGACATGTCGAATGTGTTGGTGAAGGATTCGAGCGAGTGGACGATCGTGATTGGTTGACGTCTTGCTGCTAATGCAAAAATGGCTTCAATAGGGATAATGTTCATTTTGCGTTGATTTTCCTTGTATAGTCGGGGCTTATCTGGAAAGTCGAACGTGACCGAAGGCGTGAGTTTTTCCAATGCCGATAGGAGCGATGGAATCACTATTTCGAAACCGGTCATGTCCAATTCATCGATATTCCATCCGTTCAATCTACAAAAACGAGAAAAAGGGGGGGAGGGTTTTTTTTTTTGTTTAGTAAGAGAAAAAAAGGGGGGATTTGTTTACATGTGCGCGCATGATATGCTGCATTTATTGCAAATTGCATGCAAATGTCACACGTTCATGCAAATTATACTCACGTAATACGGAGAAATTCTATCCCCTTTTCGTAAACCGAATTGAAGTGTTCCTGTAAAAGGATAATAAATGCAAAGAAACCGTTAACGATAAATTTCCCATTTCACAGAAAGACTAATCGAGCGAATGTGTGCGTGTATGCGTGTGCTGGTGCGTGCGCGGATTTTCTCCACACTCAAATTTCGGTCCAACGTACCATATTAATATCAAGATTAGCCAACTTTTGCTCAAAGAACTCTGCCGCTCTGGTACGGAACGACCCGAGAGCAAGAACAGCAGCCAAAGCAGGGGCAATACTTCCCGGTCCGGTCCGAGCCCAACTGCCATTTTCGTCTTGTGCTTGTAATAACCATGTGAAGCATTGTGGGAATGCAAGCTCAAAGTCTTGTGGGTGTTGAGTCGCTTTGTATTTGCGACTGGGAATCATGGCGACCCATGCTGTATCATACGGCGACATTGATATCTCACCATAGCCTGTCCATTCCGTATCGTTACCTTCATCGACAGTGTGTCTGGCTGGCTCGGCGGGGTTGTTGAAAAAATCCGGCCACGTATTGGTTCCGGCTTCGCAAAGTAACTGAATTGTAGCTTTGATAACTCCCTCATTGCGGGACTTTTCGACTTGGACGATCTGCGATGTGTGGCCGTCTTGACTCTGGTCTTTTGAGGATACTTTAGAGCGAACATGGCGGAGCAGAGTTCGGTTGGGTATTTTGCTCTTTACCGATTTTTTTATGCGCAAATAGAGTTTCTTGCTCTTGCATGTAACAGCGGAAGGAACTGATCGAAAAGCGATAGTGAAAATAGTTGATCTCTTATCTTTTTCTGACGTCATTTTTTATGCGAGGCGTTGCGGTGCGTTGTTGAGTTGAATTGAATTGAGATAATTTATAACGAGTATATCTTGCCGTCGAGACAATATACACTTAAGGGACGAATTTAAAGGGTAGATTAAATATTTCGAAAATAACTTGGTGTATGAAAAATTGAATATTTACAGTAATTGTCGAGGATGATGTGTCATGTAGCTAACCTCGCAATTGACCGCATACGATGAATGGTCGAATCTCGTTGTTTTTTTAATTTTCGAAAATGCAACTTATTAAATCTTGGATAATATATATATGTTATATGTATATATGTAATTTTTTTTTATAGTTTAGGCCTTGTAGGAAGATACTTTGGGTGAGGGAACAAAAAGATCTGGGTCGATGTTGACCTTTACTTGCCAAAAAAATCTAGCATCTAAAATAATAATGATAATGATAATAATGATAATAATAAATGGATATATATGCCCTCCAATTAAATGAAACGGGAATATATGTATAGAAAGAGTTGACCCAAAGTCTCTTACAAACAAGTGATTTTTTTTGTTGATATAAAAATAAAATGGAAGAACTACTGAATGAAAAGAAAAAGCGAGATTTTTCTCTTGGAAAAAAACTTCAGTGACAGGGCATTCGGTGCCTTTAAAAGCAAATCCAAAAATCGGACTGGTGATATGAGAGATGAATTACGTGCATTGTACGATGGGAAAGATCGTCAAGGTGATAAACAGTGTTGACTACAACAACTAGTATAGAGCTTTATTATGGTTAGACCAACAATATAATTTGTGACAATCTGCATGCAGTTGTACATTTATGGATATTTATAATAGTGACGACGCTTTCATTAGCTCATCGATCTGGGATATTGTCACCTACTAGTTAAAAATCCGAAGGGGGGGGGGGGACGAGTTTGTAGCAGACTTTTCTGGCCAATAGCAAATTAATCAAGACTAGCAGTTATTTCAAAAAGAAAAATGTTGGATTCGGAAATTCCCTCTTATCCCATCTCTTTCTCTCCACACATCATTTTAGGTAAGGGATGTTCCGTCAATCACTTGTTTCTACTTTAGTAATAGGTTCTATTGACGCACATCGAACTTTGTCTCATTCAGCCATATTTTAATGTACTCTAACTATTGTTTATTGTTATTTATTTGTATTTACCCGTTAATTATTAACCCTTTAATCAATGTTTATTTAAGGTTAGTATTCATAAAAATAGGTATTCCCAAACACAAATCACCAATCACATATTAATTATGTTCTATATAGTTTACACCTCATTAATAACGAATACAAATCAGCTTGCTTGTTACACGAATCTGTCAAACCACCAATTTTTGGATTGGGCGAGAAGCATATTTTTGATCTAGATGAGAAGGAAAAGAAATTGATTTTCGATAAAACAGTCAAATTGTGGACCCGGTCATGCAAGATGACACTTTCGGTTTCTATGATACAGACAGCAGATGATATGTGTCAATGTAGCACTTGGGCATTAGCACTTGAACATTAGCACTTGGGCATTATGGTGTGTTTGCATGTTTCTTAATATAACAACGACATACACAGTATATACAATGTTACTGTGTAGTGTGTACTCGTTAATATATATGATATGAATATGCTGTACAAGCAAGATTTTCTTATCGTGCCGACTTTACCTAACCCGCTATTCCCATACACTAATTCAACCTTATTCATGCTAACGAACCCTGCCTCTTTTCTCACTCTCCCTTTTGTTTATAATAACCAGTAAATCAAAAATGAGGGCAACACAGGTTTTGAGTTATGGATAGTGCAACTTGTGTCGTCAATATAATGAATACATATATACATATATGCATGTATATACATACAAATACACAATAGCAGGTTTACAATAGGCATATACACAAATACCATCACCATCACAAATACCATCACAAATACCATCACAAATACCATCACAAATACCATATACGCATACATACGCAGATACACCTCCGTATAGCCAACTGTATGCTCAAAAAGAAACGATGGGCAGTTGTACTGCGGATAATAATCATCAGCAGAACTCGTCTCTCGGGCATCTGTCATGTGAAGTGGCTGTTCCCTTATTCCCGACATCAGTTCTGGCTGTTTACTCTATTTACTCGCCGCCTCCCTCCCTTAGTTTGTGATCAATACTAACACAGCATCAATGCAGAATGAATTACCAATGAGCATATTCCGCATGTTTGTACATTGTTTCTTTGCCCGAATTCTGTGTAAGAAAAAAAAAGAGCAAGTGGAGAGAAAAGGAGGGGTGGAAAAAAAGAAAAGAGTAAGTAACTGGGCGTTAGTAAAGTTTATTGACAATAGGGGTCGATCGATTAGAGAAGATGGAGAGGTTGCACTAGAATCAATGCGTATTATCAGAATGTATCCGTGGGAGAAATAAATCATTACATAATGCAACAGTAAGATTTATCGGCAGTATACATTCCGATACGCTATCATGGCCATACCGCCCACGTTGTCGGAATTAAATTAACAGGTATTTTTTAGGTGTTTGCATCACCAAAACGACAACAATCAAAAAGAAAAAAAAGAAAAAAAAAGGGTGGCAGAAAAGGTCCTCTGATTAAACTTTGATTGTGCGCATTAGCATCAACACATCGCATCGGCTGTTGTAGAGTTAAAAAGTTTTCTTTTCCTTTGTTTAGACCGGACAAGGGGGGGGGGAGACACCTGCTTATGGGAATTGAATAATAAAGAGAAAGCGTGGAGAGAGTTGATGGCATGTGTAAACAAATAATGGTTGTTATTGGTTTGTCGTCTCTTATGTGTGAGACAGAAGCCATTTAATTGTCCCTATTTTATGGAGAAGAACAAACCGTTTCACATATCCGTCACAGTTTACGACAACCGCCCAATAACACACAAATACACACCAGCCTCCATCTTTTTCTGTTCATTTTTGAATGCTTGATATCTGTTATCTGGAATACAGGTAGTATACAAACAAATATATTTACTATCAAACAAGAGAAACGGATGATCGGCTCGTGATTCTCTAATAAAAGCAATTTCCTTTCCATAAACTGGTCCATTTTCGAAATGTAATTAATAAAGTTTTGGAATATAAAATGTATGACAGTGATACAATACAATCGATGCGTGTAAAGAAATATCCGAATCTTGTTACAGCCTGTTGATCAACTATCAAAAGTCCCCGGGTTTAAGACTTTTTTTTTTGTTGTAGTGCATGTGACCGTTCGTGTGCATGCCCCAGCCCATGTCCCAGTTCATGTCACGACCAATGAAACATTTTCCAGGGATGTTTGGAATCACAAATTATATTTATTTACGTTTGAGAGAAAGAGGAAAAGTTCCCCACTCCATCAATTGGGAAACCCATCTCATCCCATTTCCAACTTTTCTTTCATTAGCATGCTGTTTACCGTCGCATAGGACAACGTCATCTCGGGAGAGGAAAAATATTACACTAGACAAGGGGGGGTTTTGAAAACGATTACGAATAAGAGCCTTGCTATTATTAGAAGTTTTCATAATATTGGCCAGAATAGATATAATATTATGGAGTGTTACGATGGATGTTACGATGATGTTACGATACAATTAGTCGTACAGAAAGTTTTGGGGTATGGTTATTATTGTCTTGATTTCTGGTCCTGTTACACGTGTATATCTAATCTAAACTGGGAAAACAAAATAATCGTGAAGGGGAGCATAGATATTCATGGTATTAATAATTTATTGGCACTAATCTACTAGTTCGAGTAGAACTATTAGCACATGATATATAAACAAGTCGTACTGCGAGACGTTCGGGATTACGCCGGGCGTGTGTTCTTTTCTCGTTGGAACGGGCATGGGCTGAATGGTTCATCCACAATCTGTACGGGTAATTGTGAAACAGAAAGATCGGTACTAAGCCGTAGCATTAGGATTATTAATAATGGTTCGATGGATGGTAGTATAGCAACAACAAGCACAGCAACAAAATCGTATGATGAGTGAACAATTAAATTAAAGATGGGCAGATGTGTTACCTGACAGAACAATAGCAATTCAATAGTAATTGGACATAGATAGACTACTCACCGAATATCTTATGTATTTTCATGCACGTGTTTATTAATGACGTAACATGCACCTTGGATGTTATACATTATTGGATCTGTCGCTCGAATTTTGTTTTTGTTAATTGGAAAGTTCAAGTAATACTAATATTTCACATATATATTGAATGTATGCATTCTCTCTCTCTGTTCGGTCGATTAAAAGAACGATCGAGTCTCGAATTGGAATTAATCACAATATAGAAATGAGTAAACGTTGATAAAAATATCAACCAATGATACAGTGATTGGTCATATTGTGGAGCAGCGTGAGTCCCAAAACCGATTTTCTATTGTTAGCGCTAGCGACCATTTGTATCACCAGCCTGATCTCCAAAAAAAAGAAAAAAAAGATGGGTGAACACACGGTTGATGATGTGATGAGAAAAAAAAAAAAGATGTGATGGACAAAAAAGATGTTATTTGTTTTATTCATATACGAGATGCCAAGAGTTTTTACATGTAATAAACTCCGAATGTTACACATCAAGCAATAGAATGATCTGTAATGACGTTATTATAAAGCTTTTTTATACGAATCCAGTCTTGTTCTTATTTAGCGTAAACCGTTATAATGCGTAGGACATTCTCTCCTCTCACTTACCCCCCGTTCTCTCGATGCACACAACATTGTTGATGCTCAGCATGATTGGTCAGCTTCAAATATGCGTGTGCTAATTAAAAGTACTGATAATGTAGGACCTCGCACAATAATGACAACTTTATTGGCCAGACATTGTCGAAATTATGATGCAAAGCGATATAGCAAAACATTGGTCGCTTACATTACAAATTGCATACATACTGACTTCTCTTTATTTTCTCGCTTCAGAAACACACCTTGTCGTTGTCCCGATCCTTCTCGTATAATTAATTACAAGACTGAAAAAATCGAGGCATCCAAACTTTGCTTGTGCAACAACGATAAAGTAGACGATTGTCCGTAGTATGTTAATTATAGTAATCAGGTAGCAGATAAGAGTTGAATGAAATTGACTTGTTCATATCGCCAAAGTATTGGTCTCGTTATAGTCGTTAATTACGCATAGTTATTGCACAGCACATAATCAAACTATATGACTAATATTTACTATTACTCACGATCCAGACAGCAGCCAACTTCCAGGCAGGGTAATTGAACCCGCGCCTACGACTAGAACAAATGTTACATGCTAAACTCTACCATATATTGTATTCAACGGGGGCTGTGCATCGTTGGTTAATGTTAATTAAATTCAATAAATCGAACTCTAAAACATTCAATGAGTAAAAGCCCCGATTTGTAGCAATTATGAAACGATGAAAGAAGCTAATTAGAGCAACACAAACAGGAGTCGGACAATTCATTTCGTCTTGTTAATGTTGGACTTTGCAAATTTTTACTCGATCTGTCGAAACAAAGCGCAAGTAGGCCCCTATTCAGATGAGCAATGTGTGGTTAGTCGGATAGAAGGAAAGAAGGAGGGAGAACAAGAGAGCGTAAGAGATTATGTGATAAGACGTAAAAGAGGAGAAGTAAAAGTGACAGATGTGTTCACAATGTAGTACATATTATTTTGAAAATCTAATTTAAATAAAAATAGCACATTAATAAAGTATACGCACACCAATCATGATTGCCAGAATCTGGGTAATTCTCGAAACGACCCAAACACATGCAACAATGAGAAAGGATGGATAATTTATCAAAAAGACAAGGTGTTTCACGCACGATTAGCATCTGGCATTATCGTTTCTTTTGTAAATTACCAAACGGCTGTCTAGTAATTTAATACGAAACAAACCAAACAACATCAAAGCGTCCCAATAATTTATGCCAAAACCCTAACCACAAAGAGATATCTGTATAATTGAGTTTTTGCATAAACCAAGACCCAATCACAAGTATTTTCGGGTGTTGTATTACTGTTGTATTGCAGGTTGCATTATCTCTCCCCCGAATAAAAAAGTAGAAGAAATGTAAATCTGGAAACCCCCTCTTTGGTAGATATTATTAATACAGGGGGACGAGAGTTTACATGAACGGCCGATGAGATGAACAAAGCCACCGACTGTTGAATATAAACAAATATTACTCATAGAACGCCTAGACTAGTAATCTATTACTATTTACAGTGTAATTATTGCACATGTGATTGACATTTTTGTACGTCCACAGTCGTGTTTCAGATTTGTCACGGGAAACGGTAAAGACAATATACATGGGGTAAACGAGAATACCGATAACAGTGTTTGTCGACACAAAACCACCCAAGCTTGCTGTGTAAGATGGAATTAATTGTCTATAATAAAGAACACGCGTCTACGTGGAAAATATAATTGTTATACAAATAAATACAGACACAATTTCGTTATCATGAATTATTCGAAAGAAAGAAAGAAAGAAAGAAAACTTAAACAAATGATCAGAATAAACAAAAACATGCTTGTAACAAGCAAAATAAATTAGTATTATTGTGTGATTTTTCTCCCGTGAATTCCCGTCCCTTCTCATCCAAAACTGCTATTCTTTAGGTTTTGTTTCATGTTGAACAAGACTTATCTTTTTCTTTTGTATTCGTCAATGTGGATATCCGACAAACGTATTTTCTATAGAGAGAATCGCATCCAATCATACAAAGCAATATGGACTTTTTTATTCATGCATAACATTCGGACCAACTACCTATAGGAGTATTGCATATATATATACAGGGATGGGAGAAAGAAAGAAAAAGAACTAGTCAGATGACATAATAATGTCACAACAAACCTAATCTTATTCACCGCTCGAAAAATAGCAGTTATAATCATGTGGCGCATACCAACTAAACAGTATATAACAGGTCCCATGCAAATCGGCATTTGTCGGCATATATTGACATGCATCTCAAAGATGGGGAAGGGGGGGAGGAGCAGGAACATTCTACGCCTGGCACATGTATCGCAGCCAGAAACCAAGGTTTAAGGGAGATCTTATCACCGGGAAAACGTTATTGCTGAATATACCGCCGCAGATAATCTATGTTTTACTTTGTTCTTGCTTTTCTGGCGATATGTATGTATGCAATGAGTATGTGATTTTTCGGCGCACAACAGTCCGAAAAAAAAAAAAAAGTCTTTGTTGACTAGAGTGGAAAGACGGGAGGGAGAATGAAAGAATGGGAGAATGAAAGAGTGAGAGAATGGTAGAGTGGGAGAGTGGGAGAAGGGCGTAAAGAACGAATCACCAGTTTAATAATAGTAGGCGATATGGTACACCTTGTTAAAATATTGTTCGTTTCGTTCCAAGTCATTGTTTTTATGACTTTGGATATGCATCTCAAAGAAAGGCTTGCATTATAGATGTTGTACTGACAGGGCCAGTCGCTATTAGCGTGCCTATCAGGCCTCTCGAAGAAAAAAAAAGTTTTTTTTGGGGGGAGGGGCGATAAAATATGAACAGCACGTCGGGAATCTTTTTTTTTCCCTTTCTTTTGGCTTATACTAAAACGAATCGAAACCGGTTGGAGAACCGGGCATGTTGTAGATATCATAGTTGGGGCGGTGAGTTGCATCGAGATTAATGATTTTTAATAGTCGTACATGTTTTTATTCAGCATGTCCCAAGTTTATCCGTCTGCATGTATGTGATGATAGAAAGGGTACGGCTTTCCATGTATAATATCGATTCTGCAATAGAACCGACGACGGATGTAGGTATACTTGATTAATCAAAAAGTCGATTGATAATTCTAGCACCGAAAACATTCGGATCGGCCGCCCGGGTTATGGATTAGCATCGATAAATCCTATCAATAAAGCATTTGATTTTAATCGATTTAGCGACGACGCTGTTTAGCAGTGGTAGTATTAGTATCTGTGTATTTAGATTAGGTCAGGTCTATTATACAGACATGTTATTGATTTATCCCACAAGTTTCAATTTCGGACTTTTGAAAGTACGACATTACTTTTGTTATTTACCATTCACTTTTTTAGCGAAGAAGGTATTGGTAATCAATGCTTGGCTAATAAAAGTCATGTAGGGGGATGTAAGTATTTATTTCCATTAATCATCATTAATGCACAAGTATCTGTACGAAAATTGTCTTCCTGGTCTAATAACACCGAAATTTTTCTTGGCCAAAGTAATGGCGTGATTATTTTCGGGATTCGAGGATCAAGGGAGGGTTTATAATTTCTCGTTGAGTAAATATAACGTCTTGTTTTGTTATGCTCTGTTTTGCTTTTCTCTTTGGCCCAACCAAACAAATAGCCACAATATTCCTATCAAAGCTAGCTGTTTTATTCCCCACATAAAACCTTTGCGAAATAAGTGTAAATGAGCATTAAAAAATACCACGAATTATAAACACAATATTCAAAACTTTCTTTGCAAAATGCCGCGCGCGCGTAACTTTATTTTTGTTTATTGGCACAATTTGGGGAACAATATATCACGATTAAGGTTTGTTTCGAGGCCGAACATTAGTACTAGTATAAGTATATAAACGGCTTGAACGTGGGTACATCTAAGAAATTGCATCTTTCAGATTTCCATACTTTGCACACTATAGTTGCGGCGGCAAATCACTATTACTCTGTCTGATGTGCCCTACCCGCTGTTCATCTATTCATCTTACGGATACAGTACTCGACGATGCAAACGTATTATTGTTGTCTCTCTCAATCCCTTAATATAATCTTGGCAGCTTCCAGTGAGCAAAGTTGCATTCAAGTTGACATCATTGACAGAATAATTTCCTCGGTAAATTTTTGGCAAAAGTTTATTATATGCCAGAGTCTTCCCATGGGCCAATACAAGTGAGTCTCGATATAACAACATCTTGTTATAACGACAGAAATCATAGAACAAAAAATCTATACTGCTTAATTGTTGTATATAAGTTAATTCGTCTCGATATAAGGACATACTCGATATGGTGACCATTTGTGTTGGAACCGAGCGTGTCGTTATATCGAGACCCACTTGTACTATTTTTTATCGAACACAGAACCAGGTGTAATTCTTCCCGCTCTGTGACCAAGGCATGGAAGTTACTATCAAAGCTAAAATCGGAGGTCGTTACCTCATCAGGAAGGTTGCCTGTAGTTTGTTTGGGAGGGTATTAAAAGAACACAAGGTCGATGGGAATCTAAAAGAAATCTCCCCCCTAATTACATCTGCCCGATTTCAACGGGCAGCAGTAATTTGACATTAGCGCATCGTCGCCATACGACAATTTCGGTCTTGAGCGAGGTCAGTGATTGCCTAGTTTAATACTAGTTTTAAGATATCGTTCTAGATTACGATGGATGTGCGTATCAGATGACCGTTGTACTTGAGAAAATACGATTAGCTCGCCAATCTAGAACACTTGACAATACATTGTAGGGCAACAAACAATATGCGCTTCTGGTGTGCTGTGATTATTAATCAGTGCGCAGGTTCGAGACCATCTTTGTGCTATATGCTATATGCTCGGGACTCTATTAGCAAGCAGTCACTAATATACGGCGCTTGCTCCAAACTGTAGTGTCGGGCTTATTGGAATGCATAGCCAGCTTGTACAAACTGTCACTGCATCTAAAAGTATAGAGGCAGTTTATCATCTTAAAAGTCTTACGGCTCTATTAATATTAGCACTAGGATACAGTAGCGCATAGGATATAATGACGCTTGAACATCATACAAGTCTGATACTGCCAGCTGCCTCTTGTCGCATCCAGATTTGTAATGCTTGCTTGAGTAGATGTTTCAGGGATTCCTAAGATTAGTAACTGGGCACAAAGACGCTTGACGCTCTGTAGATAATAATTAAATGTTCATCTTTTGACCTCCACATCTGGGTATTCTACACAATCCCTACATTCAAAGCGTTGCCGAGATCCTGGAATCTTTAATAGGCATGGTTCTTTGTTTATGTACTCCACTACCTCAAGAGCATATGTGAGGGAATGAAACACTTGACAGATTATGACCGTCTCGGTTTCCTTGCATTACTTCATTCAACATATGATTACAAGCTCTGCTAATATACATTCTTTCTAGACTTTGATTCTCAATCGTATTCCACAAAATTAGTATGACCGGTCTCTTTTGCGTGTTCAGTAGCTTCCTTTTCGCCTGAATAGAAAACAAGTATTAGGCATATTTTATAGATTAAATTTTGTAATACACGATAATCCTCTTTACCTTTGAGTCCTATCCCGCAATCTCTACATTTGATGGTGAACGTTGCTGTATAGGTATACTTGTGGAGCTGATAGCCCGGTAATTGAGAAAGGAATTAGTTGTTAATGTCGCAAACAATTATGGTGCCAAAAATTACAGTACTGGCACCAGCAAATGCAATTACCATATTCATGGCTTTGGCAATGTTTTCTGCAGCTTTCCACATTGTCATGTCATTTACGCCAAACACGGTCTGATCGAAATCCTTCACACTTCCGTCCTCGAGGGGCGTCAGTACAACCGCATCGTAGTCTGAGATGAATTTTTGTTAGTACAGTACTCGATACTTGTGATAGCCCTAGAAAAGCAATTTGAGATACATACGTATTCCAGAATATATTATATATACACAATCTTTACCAAGTCCTGTACGATTCTGTCCTATATATATTTCGTCAATTAGAATAACGATTAAATGTCATCAAAATGCAAATCGCTCTCACCATATTTGTCGACTCGACCAGTCCCAACATCAATACTACGAATCTCTAACGGAAATAAAAAATAAAATGAGAAACATGGAGCAGCAAGAGAATATCCACTTGTCATGATAAAATATTTCATGTTACATTACCGACATTGAAATGTTCCGAAAATATTGAGAGTTCTGCGAGAGTATCAAAAATGCAAGCATTGATCGATTAGACAAATTAGTGTTATAATCAATAAATATTCCTGTGCTTACCGATAGCTCCACCCCAAGTATTCGGGCCTGAAATCCGGGCACAATACTCGTCATTCGACATGCCAAGAAAAGCATCGTTATATGTTGTTGGATCACTTCGCAGTTTCTTGACAATAACTTGACAAATGGATGATAAAATTTCAGGAAATTGAGATGGGAAATCAAATCACGCCGACATTCTTTGAATAATCTATCCCACGCTTACTCTGTCGAAGTTTACGAACGTCGATTGGTCGATCTAAGACATAACTGTCTACCGCAAAATGGTTTCATGTTTAATGGCGCGGCGTAAAACAAAAAAGATCAAAAGGAATTTTTTCTGTAGTAAATTTTACCCTATTGAATTCAGAAACGATTGGTATCGCGCGATTTAGTAAACGTGACCACATGACACCTAAAGATTGCAAATGATTTATGCAAACCAAACTCCATGTACGCCTTACCAATTGCACGAAACAAACAAGAATTGTCATCTTCCATTTCCTAATAATAGTTTTAAACACGTAATCAATCACTTGACTGGTTCCCATCCCTTTGCAAGACCGTCCCAATAAACACATACCCGTAGCATTGCGTAACCATTACGAGTCTCAACGGTTATTAGATCACCCTTGACTTTTGCTTCGGGCACATATGTAGCTTGAGATACACGTGATGATGTTTGAGCGGAAATATCCGGAAGCGGTTCAATTATGGGTGTCTCTACTACTACGACGGGTGAAAGAACCGGTTCGGGAGGAAGGTCCAATTTGTCGACTATGATTGTTTCTCCATTTTTTATCCCGGCAGATTCGAGAGTAGATGAATCTGGTGCTGTGGATGTGCGTGGTGGATAGCCGCATTTTACTAATTCAAATCATGTGATCAAGTTAGATAAATGTAGGATCAACAATGTACCATATTTTTTATTACTATTGCTGCTAATGTATGCCAGCGTCTCACCACAGACAAGTTGTGCACTTCTCTCTACCTACATTCCTGTTCATGCTGACTAATACCAAACTCGTCATGGATAATCTTCTTCAACTCTCCGACAGTTGATGTTTCATCAAGATTGTTTATCACTTGATTCCGATCTCGATAGCGTATTCTCAGTCTCATTTTTGCGAAAAACTATGGTTCATTACGCGACAGAAACCAAAATCAGTATGAAAAAACTAAACTCAAAGAACCGAAATTTTTCCGTGGGGAGGTTAAATAATTGGCGATCAATTACTCCTATTGGCTAAATCGCGAATTAAATCAATTAGATCTGGAGATATCGGTTAAACTTAAAATCTTAAATGACAAACACACAACGTACGTAGACGTAAACACGATGACGAAGGATGTTATATTAGAACGTTCTCGTCGATAGATTTGTCATCAATGTACAGCGAGAAATTATAAAAAGAGCCATTGGCTCCATGTCCACATTGCGAGTACTTATAGTCTCATCACTTTCAACAATATGTCTGCTACTCCTGATATCACCTTGTATACGTTTTCTACACCTAATGTACGTAATGTTTGAATTTAGTCACGATTTACTGGTCATGATACGCGATTGTATCTAACAGACGTTCACTGTTTATAGGGCCATAAAGCCAGCATTACTTTAGAGGAACTAGGAATTCCTTACAAAGTACACAAAGTCTCTTTGATGTCAGGGGAACAGAGACAAGAATGGTTCTTGAAAATCAATCCTAATGGCATGTAAAGTATCGCCAAATAATACTACTATCGAGAAACACTGCGAAGAAACATTCTATTAAGCGTATTTACCTTTTTTTTTTTATTAATTAGGATACCAGCCATTGTTGATCACTCGCGTGGTGACTTTAGTGTATTTGAAAGTGGTGCCATCATGATCTATCTATGCGAGCATTATGACCCGGAAGGTAAACTTTTGCCCAAGGATCCTAATCTGCGTAGCGAGACTATTCAATGGGTACGTGTATCAAAATATTTTGTTGCATTGCGTGCGTGTGCGTGTGGGTATGGTGTGTGATGAACATATGTGTATTGATTAATTGACACGTCTTTTGTAGATTATGTTCCATGCCAGTGGTGTGGCTCCAATGCAACTTCAAGCATCTCATTTTCTCAAGTGGGCCCCAGAGGCGATTCCATACAGCATTGCTCGATACGTTAAGGAAACTCGAAGACTGTATAGTGTAAGTGTTTCTGCCGACACGCGGTTTATCCACGTTTTAGTTTGTTATTGACTCTATGTTCTCAATTAAATAGGTGCTTGAAAGCAGACTGCAAGACAGAGAATTCCTTGTGGGAGATTCACTGACACTTGCCGATATTATTAATTTTACTTGGGTTTATACTGCACCCTCCATCAACCTCAATCTTGGTAAGTAAAAACAATGCCCTTTTAACATAAGATACTGTATATCGTGGTTTCTAATGTCACTGACATTCATCCCCGTCTGTCTCTCAACTCTAGATGAATATCCTAATGTCAAGAATTGGATAGCTCGCATAGAAGCGAGACCAGCTGTGCAAAAAGGACTTGATGTACCTGACCAGAACTCAACAAGGGAGTTGAGAGCTGGTAGGACTGAGGTATCGCCAGTTGTTAAGGAGAGATTTGCTTTGCTTTAAGACGTATTTGAACATTCCAATCTGTGAATACAGGACTGTATGTATAGAATAGGTATTGTTGAGACGATGTCTTTCTCATAATTATCAACATTTAATAAACTCTCGAAATTCGGACGTTATATTTGGTCTATTGCAATGGTTTCCTATTTATGTGATGTTGATGTGAATTGTAAATTTAACGGTGATACGAGTGATTTCAACGCATGTTGTATACATCCTACTTATTGTACGAGCATCCATATTTAATGCGCGCTACGGATTATCACTTCAGACGCACAATCGCAATTCCTACGATAGGATAATGGAAAGCAAGTATATAGACAATCAACGCAACACAGAGTATTCGACAGTATATGTATTTAACATTCTTACTAACTCGGTCAAAGCAGTTAAAATGAAATCGCCACGAGTATTTACAGAAAATCACCGAGTCGTCAGTTAATCACCACTCATGAACATCTACTTGTTTAAATTCACAATACGTATGTGTTTATTCGTTATTAGAAGTCTTATATTAGTGACGGACAATCTGTTACATTCCAACACTGTCATCCTCGTACCTTTATCTTCCTCATCGAAAATTAACCGCAATCATTCCCCCATAGCGCTTATCGATAGAACATTCGCAATATTCATACTCATGTTCATCGAGCCAAGATTTGACTGCAGGACCTATCTTGGGTCTGTCTTGAGAATGATGTCCTGTTCCAGTAACTATGTAGATAATGCTACCATTGTAATTCTCTTTCTTGAGGGTATCGATAGATTCCTGGTAGGATCAAGAGATGATAAGATTAGGCACTTTGAGAGGAAACGTACGAGGCAATAAGAAAAATCAAGTAACGCGTCAATTGCGCGGTTAGAAAAATATATGCAACAAGGAGTGACTCACCTTGAGATAAGAAATTGCCTCATCCACATGCTGGCCATGTAAATCTATAAATGGTTCTTTACCATAGTAACTACTGTTACGGGCTTCGAATATTTTCCGAGATGCCTAAATGGTGGTAGAGCCCAAGGTAATTTATCACACAAACTGGGAAGCGAAAAGATACGTGTAATCCCAAACGGTGTCAAATCACGAAACATTACCTCGCGATGCAGTTCTCGCATTAACTCGTTATACTTCTGTGCTTCAAGCGAGTATTTCTTTGCCAAGTCTCCACGATTCGCCTTATAAGCCTTTGTGGCGGCTTCGTATAACTAAACAAAAAGTGTTTCGTATCGATAAATAAATCGAATAATAGCACGACTAATGTCCTACTATGTCAGCACTAGTCAATATCTCAAACTTACAATGTTCCTCTGCTTTCCCGCTTGTATAGCTTGCTCCCGATACTTTTTATACTCCTTACTCAATGCATTCCCGGCAACCAGCCAAGGAATGTTATCTAGTGGTTTCACAACAAATTTCTTTCTCTCTTTCCTGTTCTTCCCTGTTGTTGACGATTTGCTATTCCCCGTGTCCTGCGACACAAAGCCCGGTGGCCTAGGGTGTGACTTCTGTAGTATTGCAGAAACAGCATCGGCGTCATTGTTATAAAAGCGTAAATATGAAGATATTGTCCTCTCATCAATCCAAGGGAACGCTTCAACCAGACTGCCATGTTTTGCAATAAAAGCAAAATTAGATGAGTTGTTGGCCTTGGAAGCTGTGGAAGAAGGGGGACGTACGAATATGGCACGAGAAGGCGAGTCTGGAATCCGTGACGTGGTAGTGTCCTGCGTAGACGTCAAGTTGAGTTGATCGAGAGACGGAAACAGCTCGTTATCTGATGTGTCGGGGGTAGCGGTTACCGGTCCGGCCGTAGCGGTATTTTGTAGCACATTTTGAAGTTGTGATGTGTTGACAGTGTGGAGAAACAGGCAACTGTCGCCTGCAATACAATTGCCACGAACCCTTTAGATGCAAGTATTCACACATTAAACATGACGATTTTACTCATTCAGAACGTGATACTTTGTCATTAGTTTTATATAACCGACCCTTACCAAAACTTGCATATACGGTTGTCGATATCATGGGAATACCAACAGTCTTTTCGAAAACAATTGCCTTCTAAAAAGTAACGGCATATCTGAGGTTTGACACGTTGCTGTTGTTGTTGTTGCTGCTGCTGTTGGCGCTTTTCTTTGCGATTCAAAAGAATAACAATAGTATTTTCTAGATTGTAATTCTCCTGTTCAAAAGTTTTCAGCAATTCCTCATACTCAACGTCCGAGAACACCTGCATCAATAGCATCATAGGTGTTCTATCATCACACAACAGATTCTCCTCATCTTCAATCGTTTGCTCGACCCATTGGTCATCTGGTATGAAATCCTCGTCACTACAATCTCTTTCCTGTTTCTCTTGTTTAGCTTCGCTGTCGTCATCATTGTCGTCGTCGTCATAACAATTTATGCTTGTCGTCGCTGTTATGCTTGCATTGGGTACAAAGTCCTTTGCAAATGGGTTAAACTGGAATATAGATGTTGATGTAGTTGTTGATGTTATCGCTGATGTTGTCGCTGATGTTGTCAACGTTGTCATTAACTTTGAACTTGATGTAACAGTGTTCATGGACGTGCCGTGGATAGGATCGTGATAATTAGTTAATATTTCCTGAACTGCACGCTCAATCGCTGCTTCTGACTAGCACAACTAACGCAATATTGGGAGAATCAAATATTGTGATAGTTAAAAACATAATTGATTGCATGTAAGCGATGATCTTGATAATATTAATCTAATCACTTGCTGTCACAATTCAAAAACAAAACAAGTTTCATTTGCTTACCGAGAGTGCAGGACTGTCACTATCGCGGAAAGCGGCACGTAATATCTCTGTCTTTTCTTCATCAGATATTTCTTTATCACTAAGAAAACCTGCATAATATTCGATAATCTTATCATCAAGGTCAAGAGATAGTGTCTCACGCAGATAGTGTCCAAGCCAAGAATCCATTAGGGACTTTTTCAAACTAATTGGGGAATCGGAACAGTTTTAATCGTGCTTGTCATGTGACATTCTAGTGCGACATATAAGATATCCCCAAGAGTTAACAATTTTCAAATCCTCTAGAATAATGGTAACTATGATTTACGCATTGTCCTGTTTTCGACAGACCATTAGGCTTTGTTCATTGCCTCTTACGTTTGATTAAATCCACAGTCTGTATCACTACACACCGATCTTGGCGATCTGAAAATAGAAGTATTTTGCGAAGCTGTTCCAAAGACCGCTGAGGTAGTTTGCCGGGTTATACAGTATCATTATACAGTTTTTGGTACGCATTTAAGGATTGCAAACATATTAATATTGCTTGACAGAATTTTCTTGCACTATGTGCCAGTGGATATTACGATAACAATCTATTTCATAGGTATGTTGTTGATAACTGCATTCTGATAGTTTGGATTGCGCTGTTCTTGTACTCTGCGTGTGTTCACAAAACGCGTATATTTCTATTCTACTATATTCAAACGTCAGAAATATAAAAAGCTTTATAGTCCAGGTATTGTCTCAGCGGTCGTTGTTTGGTTTGGTTTCTTCAGCGACAGAACGTGTTAATCGACAATTGGTGTATATGAATTTTCCTAGACGGGGGATCCCACTGGAACAGGGAGAGGCGGAAACTCTATTTGGGGAAGGAGATTTCCCGATGAGATCAAGTCATCCCTTAAGGTTGGCAGTGAGTGATGGATGGCGATGGGGGTAATTAGAGTTGGATTAAAGGATTGCAATCGTATAGGTTGTTTATCAATTTAATTGCCGTTCAGTAATGTATGCTTTAGTGCGATCGTTTATGTTAAGCAAGAAAATACTTCTTTCTTCCAGCACAACGTTAGGGGGATAGTATCCATGGCTAATAGCGGTCCCGATACAAACGGGTCGCAGTTCTTTATCACTTATGCCAAGTTGCCTCATTTAGATACCAAATATACGGTGTTTGGAAAGTAAGTAAATTCCAGCTATGAATGGATAATGGTTTATAAGCGATCGTGGATATGCCTGATATGTAAACATGTTGCTGACACACATAACAAATTACTACAGAGTGATAGATGGCGCCGAAACGACGTTGGACGCGATCGAAAAAGTCCCTGTAGACGAAAAAAACCGCCCAATACAAGAAATACGAATAAAATCGGTGACAATACATGCAAATCCATTAGCTGAGAAAGATGATCAATAGGAGCGATTGAAGAGGGTTTGTGTTCTCGATGATGCTTGAATGAAAATCTTTGTCTTTAAATGAAAATGGACACGTTTGTGCGTATGTTCTCTAAGGACGAATAGCAATGTGATAAGCAGTGGAGCACGTTTCCGTAAGTATGTAGAGTGACTTCGTGGCATTCCATTTTTTAATAGGTTAAAGCCGCTGCTGGTGCTGCTGACCAATAGACCACGTTGGAAAAATAATTTCCCGATCATGCTGTATGAATTTATCGATCGTAATACGTATTAAATGATCAAGTTGTCAGAAGACCAAGAAATTATGGGTTTGCGTGTTGGAGAATTTTTCTTACTTGCTGTTGAGCTGGTGCTTTGGGCATTTCTGTCCTAATACTGTATACCAGGGTCTTCTCCTGCAACAAAGTAACGTAATAAACACGGGACATGTCCCGTGCAAGGATTCGAAATATTATGATAATTGAGTGTATTAGTATAACACGGTCGAAATCACCATAAAAAATGCAAGTTCTCAATATACTTTTTCAACCTGATTTCCCTTAGTTGGGTTAGCATACCACCACCTGTCAATCACTAGCCTAACTAATAACGTATCAACTAACCCTATATACTCGGCTTCCCGCGTATGACGAATTGAGTGTTACACGGATAGCGCGTAATCAGAGGGTTGTTATTATTATGTCACTGTTAACGTCAGGGATAGATATTTATTCTACTCACAGCATGTTGGACGAGAAGTTAATTATTTGGCAGAATTCCCAACGTCTTCGGTACGATTTTAGATTAATATCGTCACATTGCGGATAACGTCCCCTTTTTTGGACTCGCGGTCTCTTCGAAAATCAAGCTTTGAAACCAAAGAAAAAGATTTTTGGATAAAATATCTAGGACGGCGAACAAGACTTCTTAGTCCAAGACCCTTCGCGAATGCAGGTGCGAGATAAATATCGAATGCTGCAGGCATCAATTATTTGCAACCATCTGCCATTAGAAGGGCCTAATTTGAATTATATTATTTTCGAACCGAAATGATACTGTAAATAGAATAAGGCTCATAATAATGTATGGTGTCATGGTACGGCTCGAGAGCAGGTCGTGTCACTATTGCATTAAATAACTGAGTCATGAACTGATTGTCTTTCTCCAAATTTACAATTCCATGATCACTGCCTGAGCACCAATATAGTTAAATCTGTTTTCCTCATTTGAATAAGTCGTCCCACATTTTCCCACTTCTATAGCTATTAGACATAGATAAATACAGTATATTATTGCTGTTTTCAAAATGGTGCGATCATCACAAAATAAAAAAATTTTTTTTTTTGCGAAAATAGCTTAATACCTGAAAACAAGCAAATAACGCTGTGAAAACGTCTGCAAGCTGTGATTACTGACTCTCTCTGGAACAACTAG